TATATCATGTTTGAACTATTTATGGCATATAAAGAATTACTTATTTCCTCATTAGAACTACTTTTGGTCAGTGTTAACTGAATTTTTCTTTTAAGGGTGTGCTATTAAAGTGTGCTGTGAGGGTTCCCAGTTTTTTTTCCTCTTTGGTTAATGTCAGTTTTTTTATTGGATGCTTGTTCGCGGGCCATGAATGTGGGCGTTCAGTTGACTCGCTGACTCTCTTGTAAAATGACTTCCAATTCAGTCTCTCACAGGCCAGCTTCTTGGGTATGACTAATCGAAGTTCAGAGGAGATAAAGACATTGCGACTGGTGTGTTGTTGTGTAGCTGAACACAGTTTCATGTGACATCGGCTGCCAAAATAGAAAGTGAAAGAAAATTTTGAGATGGTCTTGAAGTGAAAATAGTTTCTTTCTTTACAGTGATCACTGAAGCCTGAAGATGAAGTGCTCACGCTGTGGCCATAACATTGTAGAGAAAACAGCCAAATTCTGCAGTGACTGTGGCCTAGAGCTGTCTGTTAAACCTACAAATGCACAAGGTAAGTAGATGAGGTCAGAAATATGGTTTCATTTATATAGTTGTTTATAATATTTGAAGAAGTCCAAGTGACAACTTTGTTGTTCCTGTTAATTCTGCATAATGTACTGTATTATTTAAACTGCTCTGTATTTGATTGTGGATGCTTTTTTTCAGGGCCTGTCAACAAATAAAATTATAGTTTGAACATGCAGCTCTGCAGACATAATGAAATGACACTTTTCTCCAAATAAAGATTAAAAATCTGTATACGAGGAATTTGATCCTGTAGAATTATGTGATGATAAGGGCTGTTCATCTGCGCATAACTTATATTGCACATTTTTCTCCTGACATCAGGATTTACATTAGTCATGTTGCACATGTCGAAGCCAAATTAGGTACGGCTTGCATAATGTGGGGGAAAAAATAGAGATTGTAGATACATCTGTGTTATCAGTTCACCCTAAGCCTTTAGTCGAGGAAAACCAAGACTAAAGGCCATTATTATATCCTAAAAATCAATCCAGCATCCAGTATTTGGAAAATTTTGATTCCTTGCATGTAAAATCTATTTCTCATTCCTGTTCCTTAATTTTTTAACTAAAAAAACACTTCTAAATTGTGAAATAAGGCCTTCTTGGCTGTAGGGCTGCCACAAACGATTATTTTGATAGTCGACTAGTCACCAATTATTTCTGCGATTAGTCGACTAATCAGATTATGCATCCATTGGACGTACAACGTACAGCTTATTGCACCAGCATGCATCTGCTCTTATATAACTATCATTACCTTACAGCTTTAAGTGTATAAGGTATGTGCTAACTAAAAATAAAGATGATAGTTTATTAAATTTTAATGAAATTTGCAGATTGTTTCGGTGGAGTTTAATAAACTCAGCCGTCTGCTCCTTGCTATCTAAAATATAACGGGACACCGGAGTATATTCTCGAGCATCTCACACTTCTGATAATCAGTTGTCTGCTTGACGTTTATTCAGCTGTGTAAAAACTATAACTTTAATCTCAACCAAACCGATTTACTCAGGAACAAATAAAAAAACTGAAAAAAAGCCAAACAATAACATTTTTAAGTTATCTAAGTGACTTATATATCATGTCACCTGAGTAGCGAAAGACGGCGGTGGGTTTGAAAACGATTTGCCGGGGGGTCCGGTGTTCTCACCGGCTCTAGTGAGCCTTGAACCCCGGCTAGCTATCGAGCTAGTGGGTAACAGACGTCTCCGAAAACGTCGGAGCGCTTTTGAAAATATGTGGTGTCTTGATAAACTGAGCATATATTTGAAGTTTACGCAGCTACATTCTCGCCTGAAAATATCTTAAACGTTTATTTTGTGACCCAGGAAGAATGATAAGAGTAATATTTGGGTAGCGACACTTGTCACTACCCGATCTGTACTGGAAACCCGATCGGTACCACGCATGTGCGAAAGGCCACTACTTCCGGTCGAAGCATTTTACGATAGTTACAGGTCAGAGTATCTGTTAAAATGTTAACAATAATAAGTTCCTCTTAAAATGTTTGCAATAATGAAACATTTCAATATAATGTAGACAAAGATGGGAAAAAAAGATAGTTACAGATCAGGACTCCTCGATCCTTACAATACAGATCATTCGCTCGGTCAGCAGGTGGCGGTATCCTCGTACACTGGGAGTAAACTGCCATTAAACGAAATAGAAGAAGAAGAAAACATCTGCACATGCGCGGTACGGATCAAGGAGTCCTGATCCGTAACTATCTTTTTATTTTTCGTTTTTGTCTACATTATATTGAAATGTTTCATTATTGGAAACATTTTAAGAGATACTTATTATTCTTAACATCTTAACAGATACTCTGACCCGTAACTATCGTAAAACACTTCGACCGGAAGTAGTCACCTTTCGCGCATGCGGGGTAACCCGATCGCTACCCCGCATGCGCAAATCTTATGTCACTTCCTCTCTTTGCCAGCATCGCGACATTCAATATATTTGAATGACACGGTTAGCGCCCAGTTAGCTCCTAGCATTTCTCAACAGTTCTGCCTCCTTTTAGACCACCGGGACATTTAAACAATGGATACCTCCGTATACAAACAAATTCCTGCTTTCCTCCTCAACAGAGAGTGTTCCGCGATTGAACAAAAGCTCCGTAAAATAATAAGAATGGCACTTAATTACAGACTTAATAATACTGACTTAGTAATGTGTCACGTTAAGATTCATCAGCCAGATTAAGTGTTTACTGACAATTGACAGTCATAGCGGACATCATCATCACTATTCCAACAATCCTCTCCTCACAGACAAGCATAAACACACTAGACTATCGCTAAATCAAATTTAACACGCATTTGTAATGACACTAATTCAGTTTATAATAGGGTTCATTTGCTCGGTCAGCAGGTGGCGGTATCCTCGTACACTGGGGAGTAAACTGCCATTAAACAAACAGAAGAAGAAGAAAACATTGCACATGCGCGGTACGGATCGGGTAGACCCGATTTGTACCGTCCTGACTTTGCACATGCGCAGTAAGGATCGAGGAGTCCTGATCCGTAACTATCTTTTTTTCCCGTTTTTGTCTACATTATATTGAAATGTTTCATTATTGCAAACATTTTAAGAGGAACTTATTATTGTTAACATTTTAACAGATACTCTGACCTGTAACTATCGTAAAATGCTTCGACCGGAAGTAGTGGCCTTTCGCACATGCGTGGTACCGATCGGGTTTCCGGTACAGATCGGGTAGTTTGTTTGTTTTTTGTTTGTTTGTTTTTTAAATTTTATTAGTAATATAAACATACAAACAAAATGCACCATATATTACAGATTCAGAAAATAGACATTTCTTACATATTAGCAACTTTCATATATAGTGAAAATAAAATATAAAGATGGGGTCACATAATTTAACAAATTATTAACTCACTAAATCAAAATCTTCCATAAAGGAAACAAAAAAAGCAGCCTTTTTCTTTTTAACTAAAGTCAAAGATTTAACCAACAGGTTTAAGTCGTTTTTCCAGTGAGCTAGTGTTGGTTAGTCTTAAAAAAGCGACATTTATGTATAAAATGCTTGCACAAGATTAATAACACATTAACACCATAATTAGCTTTCTTTTCTTTCAAAAACACTCCAAACATTATCATATTTAAGGTAAATGGGGTAATTTGAATCCCACTGGAATAAAGCCAGGTATGAAAATCCAACCAAAATATTTGTATAAAATTGCACAAAAAGAATAGATGGTCCAAATCCTCCTCTTCTGTTTCACAAAATACACAATTACCCGTTTCTATTTTGAATCTATCACTAAGGAGTCTATTTGTCGGGTAAATTTTATTCAAGATTTTAAATTGGACTTCTTTCCCTTTAGGAGGGATAGGGAAGGTGATATAATCAGTTCTTATTTTTTCAATTTCTTCCCTTTGGAAATCTTTTAATATGTAATTACGTCTAAGTAAATTTGGAGAATAAAGACTCCTTAATGAAGATCTAAGAAACTTATTGTTGCATTTAACATCACAAAATCGAATACCATCTATATATAATTGCCTTAACTTGGGGGAGATGTCAGAATATATTATATCATTTACAACTATGTTTTTAAGTGACAATGGAATGGATTTTATAACCCGATTAAATTTACTTTTAGAACATTGGATATTAAACTTTTGGCAAAAATCTTGATGTCCTAGAACATGTCCTTCCTCATCTACAAAATGGGCAATTGCCCAAACACCTTTTGATAACCAATCTTGAATAAAAATAGATTTTCTGTTCATCAGTATATATCTATTGTTCCAAATTGGGCTATTATGTGGAGTGAAATTATGTTTAAATAACATTTTCCAATAAAGAAGGACCTGTTTATGGAATTCAGAGAGTTTAGCAGGTAGCTTAGTAATTTCAAAGTCACACTTTAGGAGAAAGTCGATACCCCCCAGTGTGTTAAAGACCTTACTTGGTATAAAAAACCAAATGGAGTGTGGATTATTTAGGAAGGATTTTAACCATTTAAGTTTCAAAACACCATTCATTATATCAAAATCAATTGCGTTTCCACCGCCTTCAATGTATGGTTTAACCAAATCATCTTTAGATATATAATGGCACTTATTCCTCCAAATAAAATTAAAATTCAAGCTATTAATTGTTTTAATAACTTTATTCGATATTGATAGAGAGTAAGCTGGATATATAAATCTAGATAAACTATCCATTTTGGTTAATAATATTCTTCCAAAAATTGTGATGTCTCTTTGTAACCACTTATTTAGGATTGTTTCTGTACCCAGATAAGATGAATAAGACGTAATATTAAAACTAGCTAGCTAGCCATTGTTGGAAACTGAGCAGGGCCGCGCTATGAATTCTGGGACACAGCTTCTTCTTCTTCTTCGAGGTTTAACGGCAGCCGGCATCCTTGTACATGCTGCCATCTTCTGTTTCAGTCCGTTATTACACTCTTTAATCCTGCTACTTATTCCTGCGTCTTTTGGGATCTTACAAAGCTTCAAACGACGCATCGACTATTAAATTAGTTGTCGACAATTTTAATAGTCGACGTAATCGTGACTAGTCGACTAATCGTGGCAGCCCTACTTGGCTGAACTGGAGAAAAGGATCCATGCGTTTGTGTCATCACGTGTTACTATAATGCCCTGTTTCCTGGCAGGCATAAACCAGTTTCATCTCTCTGAGGTAAACAAAAATGCAGCGGCCAGACTAGTAATGGAGTCTAACAAGTGAGCTCATATTATTCATACTCTTTACACTGGTTCTCAGTAGACTTTGTGATTCATTTTAAAGTTCTTGTACTGACCTACAGAGCACTTAACAGACAGGCTCTAGACTTCTTACCAAACATACTGCTGCTTGCAGTCTTCGATCACAGGCTCAGAATTTGCTAGTTGTTCTTCATACAAGATCGAAGACTGAAGGGTAGCAGAGGCTTTCAGGTGTCTTACGTGTCCCACTACGACTGCATTTAGCTGACTCTGTGGACTCTTTTAGAAAACAGTTCAAAGATTTTTTTTGTTTAACCAGACTTTCTATTAAGATTGTACATATTTCAACTGTTTTCAAACTACGTGTTTGTTTTATTCTGTGCTTTACCTTGATTTTTGTATTCCTGTTAACAACACTTGAATTTTCAGTTATATTTTATAGTTTTTTGTTTAGTTTATTTTTGTTTTATAGGGCAAATAGGCTGTGATATAACCGCATGTCCACATAGGTGTAAGATTACCTATCGTGACAGCGTGGTGGCCTACTTTTTAAGGGTCAGATAATGCAAATTTGAGCTTTGTGACTTACTGAACAAGCTCAGGTGTTTTCTTTATAGTTAAAAGAAAATTTGCCTACGTGGGTCAAAGTGAAAATATAAAAATGCCACCTTTTGTCATTTAATGTATTCATTTAGGGACTGAAATCAAAATGTTCTGTCATTTTAACTATTTATTGAACATGACTATATACTCTGTATTATCACAGTGGTTTTCACGTCTTTAGAAATTAGCTCATTTTATTTTTTTAAACTTATAATTTCTAATTTGTTATTTTTATTTAATTAAGTTATTTCTTTTTATTTTTATTAACCCCTCATCTTTAACATAGATGCAGGAGATCAGCCAAAGTCTTTGGTAGCAGATGGGGAAGGTCCAATTGAGAAGCCAGATTCACAGAAAAACACCCCACTGGTGGACAACAAAGAATCCAGTAAATCACCCAAACGGCCAAATGACGAGGTCATCAACAACAACCCAAAGAAAAAGGTGAGTGTGTCACAATCTTGCCAGGCCTGTTGGTTTTTAGTCTGGGGGAACAACATATTTTGTACAGTAGGTGAATGGCTTTGCTTTTTGTTGATGTACAGTGAGTTTATGCCACAACCCAGTGTAAGGTTTATGCCAAATTCCTTTTTTCCTATAATAATTAATCCATCGGTATATAATGAAAATGAAATTTTTTCACTAAACTATAATAATTTCTGTGATTTGGTAATTTTCAGATTTACTATTTTAGTTGCTGTTATTTATTTGCATTCATTTGCATTGCAAGAATTAATTTCACAAGTGTAAAGCCAGATGCAATGCATGGTGTGATATTCCACCATACATATGTATGGTGGGAATATAATACGTATGAATGGTAGTAGATGGTGGCTGATCGTAGCTTTTTGATTGTTATTATATGGATGCGGCGGGTGTTATGCGTGGTATGTGCTATGGGATATGTATGTATGGTTGTTATGTGAGTCGGTTATGTAATGGTTATTGAGTATGTATGTGGTATGTATATATGTATACGGTGATGATTGTATTGATAATGTGACGAGCTTTAGGTGTAGTGGTATGTATATATAGTATTGATTATGGGTTGTTTGATGATTAGTATTGTATGGAGGTATAGTGTTGTTGGTGTGGTTGATGTATATTAGATATAGTGTTAATATTAGTTGGTGTATATCAAGAGTTAAGTTAATGTAGTGATGATATAGTGCGATGTGTTTTGGTGTGTGATAGGTTCATGTATACGGTAGCTGTGTTGTGGTAAATGGTAGTAGTGTGTAAAAATTTATATTATGTGTATGTATGTATATATATGATATGTAAGTTAAATGTTATATGTTGTATATATATATATGTATTGTTATATATGTGTATATGTATGTATATATATGTGTATATATATGTATATTGTATATATATGTGTATATATATGTGATATGTATGTATATATGTATATGTATGTATATATGTATATGTATGTATATGTTATGATATATGTATTGTATATATGTATGTGTATATGTGTATATGTATATAAAGTGTAGTGTATATATATGTGATTATTTGTTATTGTGTGTATATTTGTGTGTATATGTGTGTATAATGTGTGTATGTATAGTTGTGTGATGTAAGTGTATGATGCGTGATTAGGTATCATCGGTATAGGGGGTGCAACGATATTCGTATCGATATTGAAAGCGCGTTCGTATCATCAGTGCTTTCCTGGTTCGGTACGCATGATGTATCGAACAATCATTATTTAAAAAAAAAAAAAAAATTGTGAGAGGAGCATTTTGATTTTTTTTTTTTTTTTTTTTTTTGTTTTGTTCCCGTTTGGATCTATAGCCATCAGAATTGTTGTCTTGAGGCCAAGAAAGATGCCAAGAGGATTTATTTTAAGTGGATCATCATATTGGTCCATTTGATTGACCTTTATTATAATTATGAATTTATTTATTTTCAGTTGCAAACGGGACAGACATGACTGTGGGATAGGACAGGGGGAAAGAATGAAAGAAAGAGGGGGAGAGAAAGAAAGAAAACCAAAGGGGAGGAAAAAAAAGAACAATACAAAATTTGTAATTTATTTTATCAACTTTCCTTCTGACGATGCTGTCTGTGTTGAGCGCTCAGTGAATCTGCATTTGACTACTCCGCCTAGGCTCGAGAGTGCAGCCTAGGCGGAGTAGTCGAACGCAGATTCACTGAGCACTCAACACAGCCATGGTCAGAAGGAAGAGCGCAGGGCAAGCTAGCGAGACAGAAGTGGACCTCCCCACCCTCATTCAGATCTGGCGTTTGGAATTATTTTGGTTTTCATGTGACGTATGACCCTGAAGGTAAGCGAGTCATGGACTAAAGTAAAACAGTATGTTGGATGTGCCATGCAATGCTCAATTACATGGGTGGGAGCTAGTGTGTTAGCGCAGTTAGCTCGTTAACGTGTTGGCCGTCTAGCCCCTCTGTATAGGGTAGCTCGTTAACGGAGATTTGTTGTTGTTTTTATTATTTTTTGTTTATTGTTTGTGTTGGTGAACCGTACGGAGATTTGCTGGTGCGTTAAGGTCTATTTCAACGAGATTAACCTGACAGCACTAGTGGGAACACAACGAATATGACTGCACATTTACTACCGACATCATCCTAGTGCAAAGACAAAAACAACAAGCATGCTATCTACACTTTAGCCGAGTCATTTAGACAGCTGTTAGCACAGGATTCTCCTTATGAACTGTATGTTAATATGCTGCTGAGAATATAGCCCAGAAGAAGCGGATAGTATAGCTTTTATTTTGGAAAGAGACATTTCTCTGTAATAAACTCTCTTTTCCAAAGATGAGTGATTCCTCAATCAGATACAGGGCTCGCAATATCGCTAGCCCGCGCCCGGGCTAGCGATTTTTTTCAGTCGGGCTACCAAAATCTATCTCTTCCCTGCCTGTCGGGCTATTGTAGGAAGGAAAAATATATGTCAATGCTTTTGCATTCTTTCAGAAATGTAGCTGGGTAATTATGTCATTGGACGTGAGCCACTGTCAATATGTGACATATTGAAATCGCGTTTGAATTTGCGCTTGTTTTTTTGCTTTCACTTTGCAATCGCGCGAACTGTGTATAGAGAGCGACAGCACTGATCTGTGAGTGATGATAATTTGCTGCACCAATTCCTCTGACATCGTCTTATTAATTGTTAGCTTACTATGCAAACATGACAAGTGAAATCTCCCGCAGCTTAAACATGTGAGAGGTTGATCGCGCAGAGAATCGCTGAGCTTATGTGAGTGCGGCAGGATATATATTTCACTACGATGACCTGGATGATTGAGAACCTTCACAGACAGATATATATTTTAGTTCTGCTGAGCCAAATAAGACAGGTCAGGGTGAAGAAGTGACAGCCAAAGAAAAGCTTACCACAAAACGGAGAAGTTATGACAAATCAGACTATAAGGCAAAAAGAAAGTGCAGCTTTATGGTTTCATGGACAAAAGAATTTCTGTGGCTGCAATATGACGAGCTAAAAAACAACACGCACAAGGGTTAGGGTTAAATTTAAAAACTGTACTTTTGGTTAAAATATATATTTATAATTTTAATAAATGACAAATTAAAAAGGCATGAACATTTTTTTTGTATCGAAAAAATATCGAACCGTGACACCAAAGTATCGAACCGAACCAACCGTGAATTTTGTGTATCGTTGCACCCCTATATATATATATGTGTATATGTTGATATTATTTTATATGTGTATATGTTATATGTGTATATGTTGTATAGTGTATTGTATATGTTTATAATGTGTAGTATATATGTGTATAGTGTGTGTGTGTATATATTATATATG